ATACTTAGAAAAGCAAAGATGCTTCTGATGCGTAGCCATGTAGAAGTATGTATGAGAGAAATGAACTTGCATGAGGCTGAGCCAATCAGTGGCCAGGATGGCAAGAGGATAGGATAGCCAATCAGTCAATGCAATGATCTGATTGGCTTGGTTTCACCACACCCGATTTTTTGGGGAAAAAAAGTTATTGCCCACACATAAGGAGAGGTCGAGCAGTTGCACCTGGCTTTGAAGGATTTGCGGGGGTGCTCGAATACATAGGCCTACAGTCCATATGTACAGTAATTTTAATTTTAATTGTAATACAGGGGTGTATAACTGACTCAGACAACAGAGCGCACGCTGTATCATGTCCACTATCTTGATCAACTCTTTAATGAATATATTTGAAAAAACCACGATAAAGTGAAGCCATGAAAGTCAAAGTGCAAAGTTGCGAGGAACGAATGTACTTCTCACTAAGTTCCTTCAGCATCCTTACAACCATTTCTTTGAACTCTATGTCTAACAAATTGCTTGTCTCCATTTTGGTGAGCTCCTTTTATGGAGTTTCCTTCTTTTCTTTCATTTGGGGGTTGTTTCTTTGTCTCTACCTTTTTGCTGTCCCTTCGCATCTGTTTCTATATATTAGATCAAATTGCTATGCCTCCCAGTCTTCATGGGTGGCCTTATGTAGTAAGTGTTGTGTGGAATCCATTGGAGAAGTCTCTTTGATCTCCTGAGCTGGATGCTCTAAGAACGTTGCTTGTGTGGGTTACTTGAACTCTTCTGTTGTACTTGGATCTTGATTGTTGTCCTGTTCTGGGTGGGATCTCCTGTCAAGCTGACTGACTTTGAAGCTCACCCTGACCATGTTGTGCCAGCTATTTTGCTGGTGCTGAAAGAACAAAACAAAACACAAGAACAACAAGTCATACAAAAGACCCCTACAACCCCAACAAAAGCAACCACTAAAGAAAAGGGTATTAGGAAAGAGAAAAGAGAACAAGAATAAGAAAAGAAAAAATATAAGAAGGGAAAAAGGGAAGAAAAAGGAATATGAAAGGCAGAGGGCAAAGAAATAAAATAACAAAAAATAGGGGAAGGAAAATTGTATAAGAGAAAAAAAGAGAAAAATTATGAAAAGGGAAAAAGAAGAGAAAGAAGAAAGACAAAAATAAGAAAAGGATAAAAGAAGAGAAAGCAAGAGAAAGAGAAAGAAAAACAGAGTAAGAGAAAAATTAGAGATATGAAAGAAAAGAAAGAAACTAAAATAATAGCAAGTCAATGAAGAAGAAAATAATGCGAAAACAAAACAAAACCGAAGTGGTGTTCATCTCAGCAGAGTTTAGTGCCTCCTGGGATCCTGCCTTTCTGTTGACTGAGGCTGACTATTTTGCCTGCCAATTCTAGGCCACCCAGGAGCTACTTTGGTACTAGCCACTCTCAGAAGCTGTCCATGTTTGGCTTTCAGCAACCTGTTATAAGCTTCAAGCAATCCACAGTTTGTGTCTGTCTCCACAGAACTTGGCTGCACGTGGGAGAAGGCCAGTTTGTTAGCATCACGGGATGGGTCAGCACAGTTTCCCATGTTCCCCAGGCTCTGCAGGCCAGCTGTCAGTCTTAGTCATGGAAAGGGTTGTTTTTGAAAGTGCTTTTGGTGGAATTTGGAGTATAAGACTTCTGGGACTCCCATGAGAGGAAGGGGCCATTCAGATTTCAAGGAAAGTAGTGGGTGTGTTTCCCTGTCTGGAGCTACTCCTCTGAGAGTGACTCAGAATATTTCCCTCTCCTTGGCTGGACAGAGATCCTAGTATGCACTCCAGTGGGATCTACTGGAAACCGGAAATTTCTATCAGCTGTCCTGCGAGGAGAAAGCACCAGTCAGGTTCCCAGGACCTTGGGGTGGATGGCACCACCCCCAAGCCAGTCACCGATGCCCCCTGAGACTGTTTAAACCTGTAGACTTGGCCTCCTTGCCGTCTCCTCTGCAGTGATGGAGTTTGCAAGGTAGGGCAAGCAGGTTTCCTGAGGGTTGAGTAAGCTGTATCCCCTAGGGTGGGGTATTTGACTTTTCTTGACCTGTGTCTTCTGAGAGAGGCCTGTACCTCTTAGAAAAAACGGCCACTTTGGTTTGGGGGATGTATGACTGATTACAGGTCTCCTAGCCACCACTTTTCCACATCTTCCCTCAATGCTTCCCACCTCAGCCTCTCCTCAGGCAACTCCAGTCTGCACTGTCCTTGGGTGAATAGCTGCAAACAAAAATCCTGTGTTTTGAGCTATAAAAAAAATGTGGCTTTATCTCTGACCAGCTCCAGTCTCCTTGGCAGCCAGAAGCCCTACTGCTTTTCACGGCTGGATGTTACATGGGCCATTATTCTCAGCTCTGGTGCTCCGGACTGGGGACCCCAGCCTGGGGTCTGGACCTCTTTCCTCTCAGGGAAAACCTTTCCTGGAGCCGAGATTCCTCCCCACTCCCAGCCTGCTGCCTGTGGAAGCTGGACCAGCCCCTCTCCTGACTGTGCCCTTCCTACCAGGTGGTTTCTGCCCTTCCTTGTTCTAAGTCTCCTCCTCAGCTGGACCTCAGTTGGTAACCTATGGGCTACACTATTATCTAAACAACCATATTTATTCCTATGTTTATTCAAGTCAATACAGTTTTATAGTAGTAATATACTCATATTAATGTAATTACATTAATAATATGATTATATAATAGTATTTCATATTCAATTTTTCAAGTTGTTATGACTTTCAATTTTCAATGATGGTATTTCTTGAGTTAACAGAGTGATTTACAAAATCAGTTCCCTATTATTTGGCATTTAAGTAGCTTTCAGTATTTTAAATAGCTCCCTGGTGATCAAAGCCTTCCTCTTTCTTTTTTATAAAAATAAAATGCACTTATTGATTTAAGAGGGAGAGATTCATCTGTTGTTCCACTTATTTACACATTCATTGGTTGCTCTGACTGGAGATCAACCCCACAACCTTGGCATATCGGAATGATGCTCTAACCAACTGAGTTACCTGGCCAGGGCCCAAAGCCTTCTTTTTTCATTATTTTTTCTTTTTAATGCCATTGTTAGGATAATTCCCCAGACTGGTATTAGGGATAGAAAAGTATGAACATAATTGTATTAGTTTCCTAGGGCTGCTGTGACAAAATACCATGAACTAGTATCTCAAAATAATAGAAACTTATCATCTCTCATTTGTGGGGGCCAGAAGTCAGAAATGAAGTTGTGGAAAGTGTTGGGTTCTTCTGGAGGCTCTGAGGGAGAATCTACTCCATGCCTCTCTCCCAGCTTCTGGTAGTTGCTGGTAATCCTTGATGTTCCTTGGCTTGTATACACATCACCCCATTCTCTGCCTCCATCTTCACATGTTGTTCTTGCTATATATCTGTGTCTGCGTACCAATGTCCCTCTTTTAATGACCAGTCATTGGATTTAGGGCTAACTCTAATCCAGCATGACCTCATCTTGACTACATCTGCAAAGACCCTATTTCCAAATAAGGCCACATTCATAGTTTATGGGTGGATATTATTGGGGGGGGGGGCATACTATTCTACTTAGTACAGTGTTTCTGTCATCTGTATTCTTTCCCTCACTGTGAATCTGAGATTATTTTTCCCTCTATCATTTTTTGAAATATTGTATTATGGGAATTTTCAAGCATATGTAAAAGTAGGCAGATTGCTCTTATGAACTCCCACATACTCAGTGTGCCTCACTTAATGATAGTGAACATAAGAACAACACAAAAATAGCTCTTTATGTGGTAGGCATTTAGGTTGCCATGAGCAGAGCCAGGACAATGGGCCAGGTACTACCAAAGGTCGCTAGGGCAGAAAGTCCTGGGTACCTAGCAAAGGACGAACTGGAAAAACAAGGACCTACCCCCGAGGGTGACCTTTTCTTTCCTAACATGTTTCTGGCCATGTGGTTTAGACCCCCTGACCTTTCATATCATTGGTCATGTGGTTTGGACGCCCCCCTACCTTTTCTACCCTGGCATGTTGCTACTCACGTGATAGACCCCCTTGGAGAGGAAACAAACAGGGGGCTGGGAAATAGCCTTTAAGCATTAAGCTCCCAGGACAGTGAGGTTCTGACCCACATTAAATACATCTAGGCCTTAGTTGTATTTCAGCCCCAGGCCCAGAGAAGCAGTAAAACCAGACAAATGACACCACATCTGACCTCAGGACCAGTTGCATTGACTAATCACCCCCTGCCCTGGCACCGACTAATCAGTCAGACCATGGCCCTGAAAAGGATGCACCTGGAAAAGTGATACATATTCTGTTGAGATCCTCCTCTAAAATTCCTGCCCTTACAAGCCCTTAGAACTGACAATTCAGAACTTCTCCCTCCCAAGTACACCAGTCCCTCCCCCTCCCCCTCCCCTCCCCCTCCCCTCCCCCTCCCCCTCCCCCTCCCCTCCCCCTCCCCCTCCCCCTCCCCCTCCCCTCTTCCCTTCCCCCTCCCCTTTCCCTCTTTTTTCCCCATGTCTGTTTTCCTTGCCTCTTTCTTCCCCTAAACTTTTAGGGCCCTTCTTTTTTTTTGGTATGTGCCCCTAGCAGGAACCAAACCCAGGACTCTCTGGTCCACAGGCTGATGCTCCAACCGCTGAGCCAAACCAGCTGGGGCGCAAGGGCCCTTCTTTTTGCCTCTGTAACCTGTTTCCTGAGCCAATTTCTTCTATGGCTCACTTCTTCTATCTCTGTGATTTTCTAAATAAATTTTCTCTTATAATTTGAGTCTTGGTTCTGAATTCTTTCTTAGCCAAAACTCCAGTACTGAGGTTGCTGAATAAAGGGCTAGTCTGACCTCACTAGTCTAACACACCTCTGCCAACACTCTCATTTTTTTAAATTCTTGAAGCAGAATTTAAAAATTATTTTTAGAGTAACCTCTTAGCTCTTTTTATTTCTAATTTCTATATAGTTGTGTGTTGCAGATTGTGTACTTTTTCTTGTTGGTGAAACCCCCTTTTCTTTCTTTCTCTAGGTTGTGCTGTGTTACAGGTCAGGCCAGTGGTTAAAACACCTACTTACTCTGATGTGGCGGACGAGGCCTGCAAGTGCGACTTGGATGAGTTTGTTATTGTAGGTAAGACTTAGATACTTCTTAGATATGCCTAGGTAACTCCCTCGCCACGCATATTGCTGTGTCACAAGCAATATCACATTATAGTGGCATTTAGAGAAACTTCTCCAAAAATCAGATTGTGTTCCTGATATAACAAAAAAAAATGTTCTTTTTGTGTAAAATGTCTTGACAGTGAATCTCTCATCTCACTTGTAGAATGGATTGCAAAATCAGATACTCATTATGGTCTCTCAATTATATTTTGGTGAAATTTCAAATGAGTATACTTTGAAATCCTATTTTGGTTATTAGTTATAGTCTCATAATAGAAACCCAAAAGAACCTGAAATATGGACATGCTGAATAATTGTTTTTTTCTGAAATGTAGGGAGCCCTTTTTGTGTTCTTATAAAATTGATGATGATTAAATGAAACAGACTAAAAAATCTTACTACTCTTTCATTTATTTTTCCACAGAACTTGGAGAGTTAAGCAATACCACAGAAACCTGTGGATGTCCCTCTAAGAGGTATCTCTCTCTCACATCTACCTGCACATAGTCCCCTGGGCCATCGCCTCTGAGGCACTCTGAACTCCAGGCCTCTGTGAACATCTTGGGCCAAGTTCAGCCAGTTGCAATGACAGGGATTACTACGTAGAAACAAAACAATCACCACTCAAATTTCTGCAGTGTTTTTAGAGTGTTTAAAATACTTTTGAATACATTCTTATTTAATCCTCATGAATAGATTATGTGGGGTTTTTTTTTTTTTTTAAACCCATTTTATAGATGTAGAAACCAAGGTTCAGACAGGGTGTGCTTCCGGGCACCATGCAATTAAATAACAGAGGTAGTATTTGAATTCAGGTCTTCTCACTCTAAATCCAGTGTTCTTTTCACTCTAACTCTCAGTCTTGGTAGCCTTCATAAATAAAGCTGCTCTGTTGAGCATAGAGGAATTATGTTGAATAAGATAACCCTTGGTACCATGGTTGATGCAGGGTCTCTTATATGATGCTTTCTCTGAGTTTTTGGAGAGGGAAGGACAGTTGAAAATCTGAAGAAGACCCTTATACTCCTCATGAATATAGTTAATTTTTACATCTCTTACATTTCAGTGTTGTTTATGAGCCAAAGTTCAATTCTGCTGAGCTACTAGCCAAAGAATTGTACCAAGTATTCCGAAAGTGCTGGATGTTGTCAGAATCTAATTATCAGCAGGCAGTTTCTCTGAATGCAGCTGGCTCTATAGTAAGTATCAAAGTAAGTTGACTTAGAACTGAATGTTCCTAAATTTGCATTTTGCCTGCAGTTCACTTCAGACATGTGTGTGTTTCCTTTATGGTCACTGGGTGTAGGGGAGGAATTGAAAAGAAAGATGATTCTAAAATTTATCGAGTATTATCATGCACAAGGGACTCTACTCAGCAATTCATGTGTTAATCCTCATGTGTCCTATTAGGGAGATGCTATCGTTATTCTTATTTTAAGGTGTTAGTTCCAGACCCCCAGCAGGGCTGCTCAATAGTAGAGCAGGAGTCATGCCTCATGCTGCCTAAAAAGTCCAGGCTGGTTCCCTGTAGAACACTTTGCCCTCTGACACCATGCAGCTCGTGGGGGACAGAGAACTTTGTGGCAAAGGCTAAAATAGAAGTAGTCCCCCTTTTACCAATACATTTAAAATAAATAAATAAATAAATAAATAAATAAATAAATAAACAAACAAACAAACTAAGATTAGGCAAAAACAAACAAAAAAAAACCCACACAAAAATAACCTCTGGAAATGCAAAGGAGGCAAAGGCCACCTGGAGCAAAGTGTCATGGAGGTGTGTAGTGAGTATGTTTTGAGCAGAGTGGTTTGGTATGATTGGATGGCATATGCTTGTGTGTCTGTGGGTGTGCTGGTGGTGAGAGACGGGGAGGGTGGTGTTGATCTTCCTGGGAAATAAGACTTGAATGCTAGTGGCCCAATTATGGAGGACGTAAAATGCTAATTTGAGTTTAGCTATTAAATGATAGTATGAAAGCGTAATGGTTCACAGGAGAGCCAAGCAGGAGAAAGGTCTTAATAGAGCTGTTTCTGGGGAAGTCTGACAGCCACAGGAGGTTGTGATTGGCGGCATCTGTCAGCCTATTGACTAAAAGGGAAACTGCTTCTACTGTCCATAAAAGCATTGCAGGTTGCACACACATGACCTACTTGCAGTAATTTGAAGTCTGGTAACAAATGAAATAACTGCAAAAACTAAAAAACAAAGAAATATGATCTCAACTGGCTGCTATTTTAAGTAATTTTTCTGCAGATGGCTTTAGATGCTTGCCACGTCATTTGGTTAAATTAGAAGCAGTTCTAATTTTTCATGGTAAATTTTAATGTTGGAAACACATTTGAGTGCTCTTTTAATTTTAGTTCCTGAAATAGGCTTGTTTCAGTTCTTCCTAAATTCCTTCCTGTGTTATGCAGGTTATAAATGAAGACCGTGTCCAAAAAGACTTTGAATCCAGTGTGGATTTAGGACAGGAAATTAAATTTAAGTCAAGGATCAGAGGGACAGAAGACTGGGCACCCCCTAGATTTCAAGTCATACTTAATGTTCATCCACCACTTAAGTAAGTCTGGGTTGCTGTTTGGGCTTCCAGTTCAGTTAAAACAAATTGTGATGGATCTGTTACCCATGTTGGGGTTCTTGGTTTTCCCAATATAAAAATTCTGAAGAAACCCAAAAGAAATTTTCAGACATGTCAACGTAAGAAACATCCAAACCTATAGAGAATTTTTGTGGGTTTATTTGAGCCAAGTTGTCAACAGTTGCAGGAAAGCAAAACCTCAACAGATTGAGATAATGCTCCAGAAAATGTCAGTTTTGCACCTTACTTTATACATTACACAAAAGAGAAAACACAAGTGGGTTACATGAAAGCCATTGGTGATAGATTAGGGAGGTGGGAGAAAGCAAAGCAGTGGTGGGTGGGTGGGTGGGTGAGGAGGAACCTCTGGGATTGGATATAAAGTAAAAGAATAGACACATCTTTTACATAGGTAGGTACAGGATAATTAACAGTCAACAATTGACATGATTACAATAACAATGAGCGGATTTATGGTCTCTGCCCTGGTATATTGGTTGTGCCCTGAGTGGTCTGGAAAAAGGGGAGTTACACTGACGTTCCAAAAGACAATAGACAGGCTCAGTAGAGGCAAAGATTGACTTTTGTCAGGGAAGAGTCTAACCTAGGACATGACTATCTGCCATAAGCTGCTTTTAGTTAAAAAGTTTTAATTTCAGACCATCCTTTGTGGTTACTTTAGGTCTCTGAGTTTTCAAGGCCACCACACAGGCCTCCCCTGAGCTTGTCGGGTTAGCATGTGGCCCCTTTTCATCCACAGACAGATTTTATTATGCTTATGCTGGAGCACAATGGTGGCAGCACATAGGGAAGGAAGGTCTTCTGAACTGGCTCTTGAGACTGGCTCTGCTTGGCTCCTTTTATAAGCTGGAGACAAAGCAGGCTTGTGCAAAAAGGCGGGCTTTTTGGAAAAGATGGGGTTCTTAAAAAAGGTGGGCTTTTTTGAAAAAGGCAAGCTTGGGGAATTTTCTGTTTCAGGTTGGGGTGATTTCACTTTCCAGTTGAGTTGCCTGGTAACTGTTCCCACCTGTGTTATGGGGACAAGATGCCAGACTGCTCATTACCACCACCCTAGGAAGGTCATAGAGCAGTTAACCCTTCATCAGCTGTGACTGTGGGTCAGTAGTTTGAACACCTGCAAGAAAGCAGGCAGTTACATTGGAGATAAAATCAGCTACCTCTTTGTTTTGGAGTAGGCAGTGGATAGGTGGTGACATTCTTGCAGTTAGCTTATTTGGTGTTACTCTGGCCATGTGGTCTTAACTTGGCTTCCTAGTCACCTGGTATTTTTTTTTTTTTATCCTCACCTGAGGATATTTTTCCATTTTTTGTTCAGGTAGAGTGGGAGGGAGCGAGAGGAACAGAGAGAGAGAGAGAAACATTGATGTGAAAGGGACACATCGAGTGGCTGCCACCCGCACGACCAACCAGGGCCGGGGACAAACTGCAACCGAGGTACGCGCCCTTAGCGGGAACCGAACCCGGGTCTCTCAGGACCGCAGGCCGACGCTCTAACCGCTGAACCAAACCGGCCAGGGCTCACCTGGTATTTTTTTACTCCTGGGCCCAAGTCCCTAAACTGTCTCAGTTTCCACCTGATTCTGTGGAAGTAGGAGAGGGAAAAAAAATAATAATACACTGAGAGACAGAGAAAAATTTGTTTTAGGAAAAGATAAGCTGGGCATATTTTTCTGAGTTACCTTTCCTGGCACCCTGTTTATCAGGGGCTTTTGAGGGGCTCTGTATGTTTTGACAAGTTGAGAATTTATCTGTGAATGTCCTTAAATGTGAACATTACATAGCAACTGAAATAGGCTTAAAGGGGATTTTTTTAAGTCGCTAATATTGAACCTAAATATCATATACAATAATTTAAAAAAACTAGATCTTTCTATTTTCCAGTGCAATGTAAAATAAAAATCAGTATTTTGTTAAGGAAATTTAATCTTGAGGAGAGCTCCTGCAGCTAAGAAAAGGCACATAGGTAGGGTTCTGCATATGTTTGCCATGACCATTTTGCTGACCCTAAACTATAATAAAGTTTTATAACTTATTCTGTATTTCCAAATCACATGTGAAGTCATGGCACCAAAAACTTAGTAGAAAACACTTCACTAGATGGTCTTTCACCAGAAATGTTGTATAGTTTTGTCTTACATTATCTCTTATTTATCTAAATTTCTTTGGACCTGTTTGTGAACTTCCCAAGTACATCACTTCTTGGTGTCTGGTCTGCCTGAAACTTTCTCCGCACTTTGCCTGCCTCTGGTTCTCCCTGGAGAGAGGTCCTGTGCATGTTCATTGTGAAGTCTCTAGAGATGCCGGTGGAAGTGTTATTTGTCACACTAACTTCTGCTTTGGTGGTAGCAGGGGCTATTGAATAATTCTATTTCTTTCACAAATAAAAAATGACAAAATTAAGGTCCCAAGCCAATAAAAGTATCATGATGTCAGTGTCTTTTCCAATCAGTGGAAAATGCTCCATTGGCCTTTCCTGAAATGTAACTGTTATTGTTTTCTATCTTCAGGAGGGATCTTGTGGTAGCAGCCCAGAATTTTTTCTGTGCTGGCTGTGGAACTCCAATAGAACCTAGTAAGTATGGAAATGGACTGACTGCTCATTATGTGATGACGGCAGAAAATAACAAAATTGGGCAGTACATTGATTGTGTGAGAGATGCCTTTGATGAGAAGTTAGTATGAGAACTTCATAATATTGCCCTCTCTTTCATGAAGAGGCCATTGTGACCTACAGGGTTATGTGACTGACCTCTGGACTCATCTCTTAGTTTCCTCCCATCTGGCGCTCATCTCCAGCTACATGGCCTCCCTACTTGGTCCTTGAAGGTGGCAGGCTCACTCCTGACTTCGAATACCAGGCATCCCAAGGCTGGTTTCCTTACTTCCTTCACATCTTCACTCAAAAGCCATGAAGTCTTCCCTGGCTGCCCCACTGAAAACGTTCACCTTGCCATAAACATACATGTGTATGTATTATATTACTCTTCCTTCTTATTTTTTATTCTAGCACTTATCCTCCTGAAATACCTTTAGATTTTACTGTTTTTTTCTTATTATTATCTTACTCCCTCACTAAATTCTAGGTTCCATGAGGACAGACATGTTGTCTATGTTATTTGTTACTTTAACCCCTGCTCCTACAAGGTGCCTGGCACACAGTTGGTCCTCAAAAGATAAATTTGTTGAATGATTGAACAGCTTACCAAGGAGCTGGCCAAACTCTTCTGAGAGGGTTTGAAGGGATCATTCCCGGGCCAGCCAAGGCCTAGAAAATCAAGCTTCCCTCAGTTAGAAATACAAGTTTCCCACTTGAGATTGGGAATCACTTGTTCTTCTGTGAGGGTGTCCATAGGTCTGACCTCCATGAAGACTGGGAAGAGGAACTTTCTGGGAAAGAGTTCCCTTGACTTTTGATAGGCCATCTTGAAAGGAAAGAGACTTTGAGACTCTCTTAAGAAATAAAAATAGAAAGCAGAAATCTATCTGAACTTCCTTCTACCATGTTGAATGATAATTCCTGCCTTGCATCACAGTTGTAACTAATTATATTTAAATAGCTCATCTTCCTAGTCTAGTGAACCATGTATATTTCATTAACCACTGTATTCTGGTGCCTTAGTAAATATTGAATGCATGAGTCAGAAACTATGAACACATGACTACAATTCCACCAACTTTTTAAGTACTTCCCTAAATTTTTTCAAATATGGAGATATATGCCTACACTGTTGGTACAGTCACGATCCTCCCATTATGGAGCCAACTTACAGGAAGACATAGTCATCAGCCAAGTAAATAACAAGAATGATACATGCAACAAAAGAGAAAGTCAAGAGTGTTATGTAATTTACAGCAAGGGAAATTAATCTGGGCTTGGGAATGGGTGGAGTGAGAAGTTTTGTGAGGAAGTGATCATCCCCAGAAGAGCATGTGTGTATATGGGGGAAGGGGGAGGAGAGTCACTATATGCAATGCACGTGAGGCTATTGCAGAGATTCTGTGTCACCTGAGAATAGGAATGAAAGGAGAAAACATAGCCACGCACAGACTGTAGAGGTATTATCAACCGTGTAAACAATTTTGGACTTTTCCTGTGAAATTCTTGTAGTTCTTATGTTACCTGGGAGCCCCCTGAGTCGGAGGGGTGGGCTCTCCCTTCCTAGGTGCTTGTCAGCTCAGGAGAAAGAATTCAGACAGGTGGTAGACAACAGTGTTGAAGCAAAGCAAGTGAGTGTATTAAGGAGGCAAAGCAAGTGAATTCACTAAGAAAGCAAAGCAAGTGAATTGATTAAGAATATACTTGGCAAAAAACACAAGTGGACAACTCAGCTAGTCTGACTGCCCTGTCCAGTCAGGGTTCAAGATGTTTTATACCCTTCCCCTATAGGTTTTAAAGCTCCCCTGTGGATATCTTGGGTAGCCCGCTAGATTTCAAAGTCCCCTTCTATGACTTTACTCAGAATGTTTGCACATACATCTGGCCATCTTGTTTGGAAGACCTAAGACGGCTGACCTCTTTGTGTAATAGGTGAAATAAATTTCCCCCTTTTCCCTCTTCCCCTCCTCCTGCCTTAGCACCTATCTTTCCTGCCTAACATCCCTTAAGTGATACCATCCCAGTGCTTTTGAGGTTTTGTTGTTTGTCTCTCAGACTTTATCTGACCTTTGTTTAGCTGGCAATATGGCATTAATTAGGTCTCTGTTCTCTATCTCCCAGGCCAGGGCAATTTAAGCTATGTATTCTCTGGTTGGGGAGGAGAGGTATAAACCATTTGCTCTCAAGTGTCCTTGGTTGGGGAAGATATGGTCTTGTGATTCACTAGCTGGCTAAAAGCTGCCCAAACTGTTTGGTTTTGTTTAATTTTCTTGTCTCAGTTTCCCCATTCCACTTCCCCAGGAATTTTCCTAGCTTCTTATCTTGCCACATTTAGGATTCTTTTTTTAACTTTTTATTTTGAGATAATTTTAGAGTCACAGAAGAGTTGCAAAAATAATACAGACATCTCATTTACCCTTCACCGTACTTCCCCTAATATTAACATAATAATTGTAGTGTAATTATTAAGTGTGAGGAATAAGAACTGTTACAATCCTGCTAAATAACTTACAGGCTTTATTCAGATTTCATTAATGACCTTTGTCTGTTCTAGGGTCTGACCCAGAATTCCACATTTGGGTTTAGTTGTCATGTCTCCTCAGACTCCTCTATTCTTATACACACAGAGACATTTGAAAATTGAGCAGCAGACAACATGCATGTTACCCTTTAATACTTAAGCATGTCCTAGCAATAAATATTATTGACAGATATCACACTAAAGAAAGTAACAGTTCTCTAATATTGTCTAATACTAGTCCATATTCATGTTGTCCTTAATATGTCATTTATAGGTCATTTTTCTATCCAGGTCTCAATCAAGTTGCTCTCCCATCAGCACCCTCTACGCCTCAGCAGCTCTGGATTCTCTAAATTTGTGGCAGTCTGAGGCAAAACCAAGTATTTCAGTCTTTTAACATGCATGTCTTTGATCATTACTGAGATGGAATGTTCTTCATATCTTTACTGATCATACGCATTTCTTCATTCCATGTATTGCTTGTTCTCATCCATTGTGCATTTATACATATTTTTCTCACTGATTTATCCAGGAATTCTTTTGAATACTACTTTTAACAGTGTAAATATAGTGCTTTAGAATTTATAAAGTACTTTTCATATGTGTGATATCCTGTAATCCAGTTTTGAGTTTCTTTCTGTGGCCTCAGAGCAGCCTGGATAGATTCACTTAGCCTCCTGCCAGTGAGAACCTGAGTCTGGACTCCCACCAGATGTCCGGAGCCCAAGTCTCATGCTCTCTTGGCTGCACCACAGTTTACATGGCCCATCTTCCAAAGCCAGGAGTATTTGGGAGGGTTCTATTTTTCCAGCATCTGTTCTGCAAAAGCAAAGCTCGTGAATGACCATGATTTAAGGCCTCCAGTTCCTGCCACAGCTTGAGTATGGCTTTCATAGCACGTCAACAGCAGTCTGAGCCTTGACCCTTGGATGGAATTGGAGGTGGGGCCACCAAGCGTAGGTTTTCAGCTCGTTGGTGCTCATCTTCTGTGTGCTCCGCAGAGTTCGTGAAGCGGCTCCGGTACTGTGACTACTTGGGCAAATATTTCTGCGACTGCTGCCACTCCTATGCGGAGTCCTGCATCCCAGCGCGGATCCTGACGAGGTGGGACTTCAGGAAGTACTGCGTCAGCAATTTTTCCAAATGGCTGCTGGACAGTATATGGCACCAGCCCATTTTCAATTTGCTGAACATCAGCCACAGCCGGTGTGCAAAGGCCAAGGAGCTGGACAAAGTGAGGGTGAGCAGTTGCCTTTTGGGGGAAGCTAGTCCAGCGGCTGAAAGGGTCCTGCTGCTTCAAATGGACATCACACCTGTCATAGGGGATCCGACTCAGGAGACCCTCGAAGGGGCAGGCTTACTGTTGTCCAGTGGATAGAGTATATGCCTCAGGACCCCTGGCCTGCACTGGCTCTTGCCAAGGCATCATGTCAGATTTCATATTTATGCATAGTTTTGCATTTATGCATATTTTATTTGATTTTATTTCTTTTACTGTTAAAAGTATTATATAGCTGCCCCCCCCCCCCCGTTTTCCTGATTGACCCCCTCCTCCCCACTCCCACCCCCTTCTTGCTTTCCCCAATCTAATGTCTATGTCCATTGATTGGGCATATATGCTTATATGCATATAAGTTCTTTGGTTTTTCTCTTCCCACCCCTCCATCCCTATTCCTTCTGAGGTTTGTTAATCTGTTCCCTGCTTCCATGATTCTGGATCTATTTTGGTTGACAGCTTATTTTGTTCATGATGTTCCATAAATGAGATCATGTGGTACTTGTCTTTCTCTGACTGGCTTATTTCAATAAGCATTATATTTTCCAGATCCCTCCATGTCCTCTCAAAGGGTAAAAGATCTTTCTTTCTTATAGCTACATAGTATCCATTGTGTAAATGTATCACAGCATTTTTATGCACTCATCTACTGATGGACATTTGGATTGTTTCCAGATCTCAGCTATTGTAAATAGCACTGTTATGAACATAGGGCTGCATATATTCCTGATCGGTGTTTCAGAAATTTTAGGATATATTCAAAAAAGTCAGATCACTGGGTCAAAATGGTAGTTCTATTTTTAGTTTTTGAGGAAACACCACATTGTTTTCCATAGTGGCTGCACCGGTCTGCATTTCACCAGCAGTGTACTAGAGTCCCTTTTTTCCACATCCTCCCCAGTACTTGTTGATAGCTGCCCTTTTGGCAGGTGTGAGGTGATATTTCATAGTCATTTTAATTTGCATCTCTCTGATGATTAGCAATGTTGAGTGTTTTTTCATATGTCTCCTGGCTATTTGTATGTCCTGTTTGGAGAAGTGTCTATTCAGGTCCTCTGCCTTTTTTTAAACGGATTTGTTTGTCTTCCTTTTGTTGAGTTGTATGAGTACTCTATATATTGTGTTTATTAACCCCTTATCTGATGTATCATTGGCAAATATGTTCTCCAAAAGAGTGGGTTCCCTTTTCATTTTGATGCTGGTTTCTTTTGCTGTGTAGAAGCTTTTTAGTTTGATATACTCCCACTTATTAATTTTTTTCTTTGTTTCTCATGCCCTAGGCAATGCATCAGTGAAAATTACATTATGTATGATGTCTGAGATTTTTCTGCCTACATTTTCTTCTAGGATTTTTATGGTTTCAAGGGGTACACTTAAGTCTTTTATCCATTTTGAGTTTATTATTGTGTTTGGTGTAAGTTGGTGGTCTAGTTTCATTTTTTTATATGTAGCCATTCAATTTTCCCAGCGCCATTTACTGAAGAGACCGTCTTTTCACCATTCTATGCTCTTGCCTCCTTTTCCCAATATTAATTGTGCATACTGTCTTGGGTGGCTATCTGGGTTCTCTGTTCTGTTTCATTGATCTAAATGCTTGTTCTTGAGCCAGTACCAGGATGTTTTGATTACTATGGCTTCGTAGTATAATCTGATATCTGGTATTGTGATCCCTCCTGCTTTGTGCTTCTTTTTCAAGATTGCTGTAGCTATTCAGGGTCTTTTTTTTTTTTTTTTTTTTGGCTCCATATAAACTTTTGGATTATTTGTTCTAGATCTGTTAAATATGCCATTGGTACTTTAATAGGGATTGCATTGAATCTGTAGATTGCTTTGAATAGTATGGACATTTTAATGATGTTGATTCTTCTAATCCATGAGCATAGTATATGTTACCACTTTTTTTATATCTTCCTCTATTTTTTGTTCAATGTCCTGTAGTTTTCTGAGAACAGGTCTTTTACCTCCTGGTTAAGTTTATTCTGAGGTATTTTACTTTTTCTGTTGCAATGGTAAATGAGATTCTTTTTTGGGTTTCCCTCTCTGAGTGTTCATTATTGGTGTATAAGAATGCCATCAATTTATGGATATTAATTTTCTATCCTGCTACTTTGCCAAATTATTAAATCCAGTAGATTTTTGATGGAGTCTTTAGGGTCTTCTATGTACAATATCATGTCACCTGCAAATAATGACAGTTTCACTTCCTCCTTTTCAATTTGGATCCCTTTTATTTTTTCTTCTTGTCTAATTGCTGTGGCTAAGACTTCCAGTACTATGTTAAATAAGAGTGGTGAAAGTCGGCATCCCTGTCTTGTTCCTGTTTTGGGGCAAATGATTTTAGTTTTTGCCCATTGAGTATGATGTTGGCTGTAGGTTTTTCATATATGGCCTTTATTATGTTGAGATATGATCCCTCTATTCCCACTTTGCAGAGCATTTTTAACAGAAATAGGTGCTGGATTTTGTCAAATGCGTTTTGAGTATCTATTGATATAATCATATGGTTTCCATCTTTCATTTTGTTTATGTGATGTATCACATTTATTGATTTGTAAATATTGTACCAGTCTTGCATCCCTGGATCCCTGGGATGAATTCCACTTGGTCATGGTGAATAATTTTTTAATATATTGCTGAATACTATTTGCTAATATTTTAAGGATTTTGACATCTATGTTCATCAGGAATTTGGCCTGTAGTTTTCTTCCTTTGTAGTATCTTTTTTTTTTTTTTTTGTAATACAGAATTATACACCTAAAACCTATATATTTTATTAACCAACGTCACCCCAATAAAAAATTTAAAAATAATAAAATGATTTACATACATTTCAAAGGGACAGAGAAAAATTAAAATAAAAAGTACAGCGTAGGGTAAAAATAATACATTTGGTTGTGCACAGTGTTACATAATCATAAAAACGTAAACATTCTTAATCACAGTAGGTAATGTAAACACTGGATTATGATAAATATGCTGGGAAAAAGGAACCAAGAAGAAAATAAGTAATGGTTGGGAAGCAGAATAGCACAGTTTATATTATGAATTAAAGAACTGCCTAAAATTGGCAAATCAAGTAAATGCAATATATGAATGTTATTTGGAGATATGGTTATAAATAATACCAACAAAAAATCAGCTGAAAAGGTTGAAAGAGCTTGCTCTGGAGTCAGGAAGTGGAAAGAGGTCAAAGTAGTGTTGTCTTTCATCTAGAAAGAAGATTATAGATCTGTTTGGCTCTTTAAACTATGTGTATGTGTAACTTTGATTCGGAAAGAACAGAAAAGCAAAAACAAAATCTAGCACAATATCTAGCTCATAAATATTCAATGTTAATTGTTTCATTATAATGATAAGACAGATGACAGTTTTTTATATTACTATTACATTCATGCCAGGGATAACAATGCTTCCTCTATTATAAATGCTACTTGATCCATTAAAACACATTATTTACTATACTTGGAATATTTGGGCATGCTTAATAAAATTAAAAATTATAACACATTCCAAATTTTTGTTACTAAGCTAATTATCTAATTTTATACAATTTACATGCAACTTTTAATTTTATTAATGGAAACAATAAAATTATTTCACTTCTTGATATTAAACAATAATAAGACCAACTCCCCAAGACATGCACTGGAACTACATAATAGATTCCATCATCAATATGATGGTCTTGGCACTTTATATGTTATGTTCCCACTTTAAATTAAGTCTTATTTACTAAAATGAAGACCGGCAAAGACAATGCACAGGCAGTTCATTGGAGACAGAATACAAACAGCCAAAAACAGCACTGACATATCAACCTTATCTGTAATGAAAGAATTAGAAATTTAAAAATAAGGTATCATTTTTCACTTATATTGGCAAAGATTAAATTTTTTAAAACGTATCTAGAGTTGGCCAGGCAGTGTGCAGGTGTGGGGGTGAAAGGGTGTCACACATATAAAACTAACTATTGGAAGTGTCAGTTGCACTGCCTTTTTGGAGAGCAATTTGGCAATTCTTATCAAAGTTCTAAAAAAGTTTAATCCCTTTGAAAGTTTAACCCATCATTTCACTTCCAGAAACTTTCTCTACGACGAAATTAAGCATATACCTCAAAATGTGGTTAACTAGGATATTCACTGCACCACTGCTTACAATAAAGTCGCAATCAATCAAAACGTCCAACAGAGAGGAAAACGAGTCAGTTGTAGCACAGGTCCCTTAAGGCAGGCAAGGGGCTTCCCCTCGGTGCCATTCTCCCAACCCTGCCGGCCTCAGCTTCCTCCTTGCCATGAGGCTGCTTTCCAGTCTAATGACAGGCTTTCTCGGTGCTTGATCTGAGTCCAGGGAAACTGAGGGGAAATATTCTAGGGACTCGTGAGAAATGTACTCCTCACTGACAAAACTGAGATGTGAGAGGAGAAGCAGCCTTTCCTGACTTTCAGATGCAGTCTTATGAAGACGTGAAGCTGGAAGTTAGAGCAGCAGCTGTCATGACCATGAGACAGGCCTAAGGCAAAACAAACTGTGCTTGTTTTGAGTCTAAAACCAAACAAGTGTCTTTATTGACACCTTCTCATCTGTGTTGTATGACATAATAAATGTCCTTCATTATTGAAGTCAATTGTATTTGGACACTGTTACCTCTGGTCAAAAGCATCCTAACTGATATTAGCCGCTCAATAGTATACTTTAGAGCCAGTACAAGGTTTGCCATAGTGGTATTTATGAAGAGTAGATGTACAGTTAAGAGAAAAAAATTATAAATCAGTATTGTTCCCATTTTTTTAATTAAAAAACAAGTATATTAATATAGATTGATTTGCCAAGAAAGGTTTTAGAAAGTTATCTCTGATATAGTTATGTCTGAAAGACAGGAATTTAAATGTTTCCTTATTGCGTATTTGTATTTTCTGCTTTTCCTACAATAAGCATGCACAGGCATGCCTCAGATATCCGGGGTTCAGTTTGACGACCGTAATAAAGCAAGTCCTAATATTTTTGCTGGTGGATGGTCTTGCCTCCCATCTGTAAAAAACGCAACACTTGTGAAGCACAGTCAAGTGAGGCACAATAAAGCAAAGTGCAATGAAACAAGATATGCTCATATCACCTAAGATTCTGACACCCTTTTCTATTTCTGCAGTCCATTCATGAGATTCTGGGGAGGAAGAAAAGATAAACATGTATTCTACTAAGCTATCTTGAATGGGAGTATGCTTTTTTAATAGGAATTTTTTTTTCAAACTGTTTTGTGAAATAAAATTTGATAGTATTAGGCATTTATTTTTTAGTGAATACAGAATATTACAGTTTCCACTTCCCTTTGTTACTTATTTTATCATGATTGTATCATTTTGTATCAGAATTTCTTCTGTGAAGCAAAAACAGTCCCAAAATGAAGGATCTTCAGGGGTCATAGAAGGAGCAGATGATGTTAAATCATTATAGGTAAGAATAGTAAACTGCCTCTGGGAGGTTTAGAATCATCTTGAGACAAAGCCTGGAAAACTGGTTTTCATTACATCAATTCCAATTTATAGCTCCGGTTCAGCAGCAAGTACAGCATAGTCCCCTTGGTGAGGAATGTTCAAGTTGAAATTGGGGTAAGGATTCAATGAGTCTTTTGCAAGAACTGGTTTTCCTTTTGCAGTTCTTTGCAAACAAATATTATTCCAAGGGATATTCAATTTCTTTGCAATTAATTTCCTTATCATCAGACAACCAGCCATGGCTGCCTTAACCACCCGGGCAAAGAGGAACTGGCCAGTGCACTCCTTCTCCTCAGGCTGGCTCGATAGTACTGCCAGCAGCCATTCGGCCTGCTGGGCAGGCAGCCTAGTGCTGCAGGAAAGGACCAGCGCATGCTCCCCATTGCTGGCACCAAGCAGAACTGCCTGGTGGAGAACCATACACTCAAAAGGAACCTCGCCATCTCCTTGGGCCTGATGGCATGGACGCTAATGTGGCCCCACCTCTTTGTAGTATCTTCATCTGGTTTTGGAATTAGGTTCATGCTGGGCTCGTAAAAAGAGCTGGGAAGTTGTCCACTTCTTGAAGTTTTGCAGTAGTTTGAGGAGAATGGGTGTTAGTTCTTCTTTGAATGTTCAGTAAAACTGCCCTATGAAGCCATTTGGACCCAGGCTTTTGTTTACTGGGAGTTTATTGATTACATCCTCAATTTCCTTAGTTTTTATTGGACCATTCTGATTTTCTGACTCTTTCCTGTTGAATTTTGGAAGCTTGTTTGATTCTAGGAATTTATCCATTTTGTCTAGGTTGACCAATTTTTTGGTGTGTAACTGTTCATAGTATTTTCTAACAATCCTTTATATTTCTGCAGTGCCCGTTGTTACTTCTCCTCTTTTGTATCTGATTTTGGCCATTGTGGTCCTGTCTCTTTGTTTGTTGGTGAGTCTGGCTAAAAGTTCATCAGTCTTGTTTATCTTTTCAAAGAACCAGCTCTTTGTTTCATTGATCTTTCTAATTGTTTCTTAAGTCTCTATGTCGTCTATTTCCACTCTGACCTTTACTCTTTCTTTCCTTCTACTTGCTCTGGGTTTCTTTCTTTCTTTCTTTCTTTCTTTCTTTCTTTCTTTCTTTCTTTCTTTCTTTCTTTCTTTCTTTCTTCTTTCATTTTTTTCTTTATTGATTTTAGAGTGAGGAAGTGTGAGAGAGAGAGATAGAAACATCATTGAGAGAGAACATCAATTGGCTGCCTACTGCATGCCCCCCAATGGGGATCGGGCCCACAACTTGGGCATGCGTCCTGACCAGGAATCGAATTGGTGACCTCTTGGTGCATGGATTGATACTCAACCACTGAGCCACACCATCTAGACTGGGTTTTTCTTTTTGTTTACCTTCTAGTTCTTTAAGTTATAGGGTTAGATAGTCTATTATAATTTTTTCTTATTTCTTGATGTAGGCCTGTAATGCTATAAATTTCCCTCTCAGGACTGTTTTCGCTGTGTCCTGTAGATTTTGTGTGGTTGTGTGTTCATTTTCACTGATTTCCAAGAAGTTTTTTATTTCTTCCTTGATCTTCTTGGTAACCCATTCATTGTTTAATAACATGTTATTCAGCCTCCATGTGTTTGAATGTTTTTGAGTGTTTTTATTGTAATTAATTTCTAGTTTCATGCCATTGTAATCTGAAAAGAAGCTTGATATAATTACAGTCTTCTTGCACTTGTAGAGACTTAGTTTGTGTCCTATATTTGAGAATGTCCCGTGTGCACTAGAGAAGAATGTAGATTCTGCAAATAGATTCTCTAACCCTTGCTTATTTTCTTTTCTGGTATTCCCATGATATGGATGTTGTTATATTTTATATTGTTTCACAGCTGTCTTAAACTGTTCTCCTGTTTTTTAATTGTTCTAGCTTTTTGGTTCTCTGATTGATTAATTATTTTTCTGCTCTGTCTTCTAGTTTGCTGATTTGATCCTCAGCTTCTTCTACTCTGATAGTTATTTCTTCCAGTGTGTTCTTTATTTCTGCTATGTCATTCTTCATTTCCACTTGGTGGATTTTCATTTCTAATTCGTTGATTTTCATTGTTTCTATATCTTTACTCCTGCTGTGGAACTCTTTACTCATAGTGTTGAGCTTCCTCAGAATCATTACTCTGAACTCTACATGTGATAACTTACTTAACTCCATTTCATTTAGCCCTTCTTCTGTAGAATTATCTGGTTTTTCATTTGGGATTTGTTTCTTTGTATCACTATTTTGGCTGTCTCAGCAGGATTTGGAGCCTGCCAAATTTTCCCTGTGAGTGTTGCTGTTCTGCTGATTGTGGCTCCCTCAGCAGGATTTGAATAAGTATGGAAGGGACCATGATGAACACCAATGTCTAGTCTTTCTTGGGTAGAGTGGCAGGTCAAGCAATGATTCAGTTATCCCAGAGCTTTTGCCTGCAGGATGACTATTAGTCTCAGTTACTTAATGAGCCTCAGGTTGTAACCCTTAGCTCATTAAAAATCCCACAGATGGTCAGGGTAAGAGGATTTCCAGCAGGTGGGGCAATTGCTTTCCCCTGGGATAAAGTTGCTTTGAGAAGAAAATGGTTTCTGCAGTGTAGGTTAATGGCTCAGCACAGGGATCCAGGCCTCATCCTTCACAGCTTAGTCCCCAGAGCCATGACACCCAACACTGAGAGCAGGTCCAAGGCTCAAAGCCTTCAGAATCTCATTTCTGCCTATTGGCTTGCTGGTAATCTTTGACTGTTAATGAACCTCAGGTTATACTTCTTCAGGCAGGGTGGTGTTAAGTTCCCAAGGGAGTGGCAATTGCTTCTCCCCCGTCTAAATTTGCTCTGGTGGGAAAGGACTCTGAGGAAGATAACTACTTATTCGTGGGGGAATAACTCAGCATAGAGCTCCTGATGGCTTCCTCTCCAGCTCTATTCTTGTTGCCATGAACCCCCAATTCTCCTCATACAGCTCCAGTCCGGTTCACCCTCCCTCTGCTGGAGCCCAAGTTGAGTGGCTGTAGCTGTTATTTAGTGCACTGGCCCTTCAGGGAAGTGCTGGTGTTCCCAGAGACCCTCCCTGCCAGAAAGAACCTCTGCTCTGGAGATTCTCTCAGCCAGGTGTTATGTGCGTGCTTTTCCCTGTTTTGCCACTCTGTGCTGGGGAGCTGGTTTAAGCCCCCAACTTCTTAGAGGGAGCTTCTCACAGCTAAGGTAACCCTCAGCTGCTGCCTATAGGAACCCAGCCAGCCCTCTTGTGCCTCCTCACCTCTTACCGGTTTTGGTTGGGGGTCCTCTTTATGTCCCTGGTTATAAAGGTTCACTCAAGCTGCTCTTCATTTGTTTTTTTCAGATGACTTGTCTTTGTTTTAGTTGTAATTCCAATTTGATTCTGGGAGACCGTCTGTGTAGCTTCTGTTCACTCTGCCACCATTTTCTCTCCCTCTAAATTTTATTATTTAAAAAAATAAAAATTATATATGTTTGATTTGATACACATAGTGAAATGTTTATTACTCAATTAACATATCCACATCCTCACATAGTTACCTCTAAGTATTTGTGTGTGTGTGGTGAGAGCACCTGAAATCTGTTAATAAATTTCCAGTATTCAATACTATTAACTACAGTCACCATGCTGTACATTGGATCTCTAGACTCTCATTATACATAACTGCAACTATGTGCTCCTTGACCAGTATCTCCTCATTTCCTCCTTTCCCTGCCCCTGATAACCAGTGTTCTATTCTCTGCTTCTATGTAGTTGGCATTTTTAGATTCCATATACAAGTGAGACCATGCAGTTTTTCTCTTTCTTTGTCTGGCTTATTTCACTTAATGTCCTTTAAGTTCATCCATGTTTTTTTCAAATTATAGGATCTCCTTCTTTTATACATAGCTGTGTACTTTTCTTAAAGAAAGCCTCCAATGTTATATAAATTTCAGGGTCCACAAAACCTGGGGCCATCCTGGACCCTCTATGAATCTTGGGACTCAGTTATGAATGCCTGCTGTATAGATTTTATTTTAAAAGCTTGTTTTATAGAGTTGTAGCATTTCAAGGTTAGAAATAATATTTAGATTTGACATAATTTCCAGTGTCATTTATGACGTTATAATTATCCTGTTTTATTTGTGACATTAGGAAATCCAGGAGCAGCTATTTCATATCAAGAAACTATTGAATACCTGCAGATTTGCTGAAAGGTACTGCTGTTGTCTGGGACAATCTGGGCATGTGAGTTGTGAGGGTTGATAACCTCCACACATTTGCTAATCCTCTGCATGCCTCCAGGTCCAGCCCCTTCAAACACAGGGCCTCTCAGAACTAGACGGTTGTCCCTCGGAATCTGTGGGAGACTGGTTCCAGGATCCCCATGGATGCCAAAATGCTCAAATTCCTTCTGTAAAACATTGTAGTATTTTTATATAACCTATATTTATATATAGGCTACAGCAGGCTATGCCTATACATTATGTCATTTGTGTGGATTCAGCATAGTACTTGGCACATGGCAAATTCAAGTTTGGAAGTTTCTGGGGAAGTTTTTCCCCCCAAATATTTTTTATCTGTGTTTTATTGAATCCTTGAATACTAAATCCAACCCACAGATACAGAGGACTGACTGTAATTGCCTTGTGTCTCTCCTTAGTAATGGAAACCCACTCTTTGAAGTTATTAAACCTTTCAACTCACTAGTAGTGAATTTTTTTGTTAAGAATAGGTCAGGATGAAACGACTCTAGTTAGTGGCCTTTTTATTATTTTTAAATTGTGTAAAATAAACATAACATAAAATTTTTTATTTTAACAATTTTAAGTATAAAGTTCAGTGGGGTTAAGTACATTCACATTGTTGTACAACTATCACCACCATCCACCTCCAGAACTCTTTTCATCTTACAAAACTGAAACTCTATGTCCATTAAACAAAAACTACCCAGTGTACCTTCCCCTCAGCCCCTGGAAATAACCAAATAACCATTCTACTTTATGCACCTATGAATTTGACTATTTAAGTACCTCATATAAGTGGAATCATACAGTATTTTGTGACTGGCTTATTTCACTTAGCATAATGCCCTCAAGCTTTGGCCAAGTTGTAGCATGTGCCAGAATGTCCTTCCTTTTTAAGGCTAAATGTATGTATATACCGCATTTTGTTTGTCCGTTCATCCATCTTGGGTTGCTTTCACCTTTTAGCTATTATAAATAGTGTTTCTATGAGCATGGGTGTACCAATAGCTTAAAAAAAAATCCTGATAGAAAGGTGATAAGTATTGTCCAATTACTGATAGATTTTTAGCCAAATAGATTTTAAATATCTAATATTAAAATAGATTTTACTATATTTATAGATAGTAAACCTAATAGAGTTATAATATTTAATAGATATTTAAATATATTTCTAATGTATTTTGTTATTAAAAAACTAGTTTCTTAGCATAATACCCTCTAGGTCCATCCATATTTTCACAGATCATAAGATTTCATTACTTTTTATGGCTGAGTAATATTTTGTGGTAAATATGTACCACATCTTGTTTATCCAGATGTCTATTGATGGGCACTCAGGTTGCTTCCATAGCTTAGCTATTGTAAATAGTGCTGCAGTGAACTTAAGGAGGCATATATATTTTCAAATTAGTGTTTTGGATTTCTTCAGATAAATACCCAGAAGTGGGATTGCTGGGTCATATGGAAGTTTTATTTTTAATTTTTTGAGGAACTTTCATACTGTGAAATAAATCTGTAAGAGAAAGACAAAACCATATGATTTTACTTACACGTGGAATCTAAAATACAAAAAAAACAAAACAAAACAAAAAAAAGTAGAATTATCAGGGGGATAAGTCACTATGCTGTACACCTGAAACTAATATAATATTGAATGTCAACTGGAATTGAAAATAAAAATTAAAAAACAAACAAAACACCTAGATTTTAGCTGAATCTCTGCCCACATCCATAGGTATGTCCTTATGATAAACTTCTTGAAGTGGAATTTCTGGAAGCCATGGTTATAAAGGTATAAGCATGAGTTTTTTGACAGAGATAGTGATTTTTAAGTAGAAAAAGAGTAGGTTACTCAAGGAGTTAAGATTATTTGTTATAATAGGATAGTAGGGTTAGATATATATATTTTTTGCTTTGTTTTAAAGCTCTTTCAGTTTCTAATCTTTACTTAATGATTTTTTTAAAATTAAATTTCTTGGGAAGGAGCATCTCTTCTGAAGTCCTTTAGGCTTGAGCTCTACCTCATGGCATTTCTGTGACAGCTCAGTTACTCCTCAGACCCTCAGTTTTCTTGCCTGTAACATGCACCAATACCCACAATTCTTACCATCTACAATAATTTCTTGAATATCCACTCTGTGCTTCAGATTTAAAAAAATCAACGGGACTCATGTTAAGTCCAGGGAGAAAATCAGCACAACAGCTCATTGCTGGACCATGTTGATATGTGTGCACAGAGCCCTGAGGGTGCAGAGGAGTGTTTTGTACATAGGGGATGGGGCAGGCAAGGGAGCAGGCAAGGCTCCCAGAGGCAAAGCCTGAGCTGGAAGTAGAAACATTGTGAATGACTTCCCCAGGCTGGATGGAGAATTAACCATGGTTTGGCATCACTGTAACACCAGGTCCAGTGTAGGCATGGTTGGCTTGGGAATGCAATGGTGATGATGCAGCTCATCACTGATTCAGGGACTTCAGGAGGAATTCAATCAGGAGGGTTTGGAGAAGGTTAGGTTCAGTTTTGAATGCCCTTGGGACATCCAAGTGCCTGGAACCAGCCCACAGTTGAATGCCTGAGTCTTAAGCTCAGTTTTGAATTCAAAGATTTGGAAATTAGTGCCTGAGCAGTCATTTTTCTGCTGACTGGGGCAACTGTCAGTGACAGACTTGAAATTTAGCTGGAATCAGTAAGGTAGACAGTTTTATCCCAGTATGCATTTTTAAGACTTGAAATAATATTCTGTTTTCTTTTGATCAGTATATGCATGGGCAGGCTGCCTGTAGCAGTGCATTTCTCTGCCGGTTCGGTTTTTTGAAATCAGCATTTATGAGATTTTAACTTCTTGGCTTCTAAGCAAACTTGCAAATGTAAAGTGATGAGTAAGGTTAACTTGGTCTTGGGACTATTTTAAAAAATTGAGTTAAAAAAATAAGTGTGAATGCCAGGTGAAAACAGCTACCTGCTCACCCCCTTCCCACTTCTGCCTCAGCCTGTGTGGGTGGGTTCTTGAATCCTCTTTGTTTCCTCTCTGGCAGTGTATTAAAAAAGTTTGAGCAGGTGCCCAGACACTTGACCGATGAGTTCTACCTGTTCTCCCTGGAGGACCTGGTCAGGATCAAGAAAGGGCTGCTGGCACCGTCACTCAAGGACATTCTGAAAGCTTCCCTCGCCCATGTGGCTGGCTGTGAGGTGAGATTTGCAAGGGGCAGGTGTGTCCCTGAGCTGTTCCTTATACATCAGGGCCTGTGCTGGGTGTTCTGCTTTATACCATTTAACTTTGACAAACCCTGAAGGAAGTGCTGGCAATACTATTTCCAGATGGGAAAAGTGAGGTGCACAGCTGTTAAAAGAGTCAAGGTTATCCTGCTATTAAGTAGCAGAGCTGGGATGCATGTCTGGGCCAAGTGACTTCTTAGTCTGGGTTCCCAACCCATTTGGGGCCTGCCTCGCCTCCCATCTGCCCTGATGTGCCGAATACTGTGGTTTCGACTCAGGATCCCCTCGAACAGGAGCTCTTTGTCTACAGGGACTGAAGAATTGTGGTGCAGCTATCAGAAACAAAATTAATCACTTCAGAATACATATTTAAAATCATGATCTTGCTCTGGTGCATTAATCCAATTCAATGTGAAATGTCTCCATGCAAAATGGATGCACATTTATTGTTCTGGTCTATCCACTGCAGAAGAGCATAACATCCTGCTCCTTCCAGAGGCTGGATTCGTAGACATTTAAAAATTGATGCTTATGAAGTTCTGTAAAAGTGGTGACTCATATTCTCCATTGGAAGAGACACTACAAATGAAGACTAACTTTTGACTCCTCTTACAGCTGTGTCAAGGAAAGGGCTTCATTTGCGAATTTTGCCGGAGTACAACGGTCATCTTCCCATTTCAGACCTCAACGTGTAGAAGATGTTCAGGTATCTTAATACATTAATAACATAAGCTTAGTAGCTTAATAAATAAGTGCAAAGTTAATGCACTTACTTATTAAGCTACTAAGCTTAATAAAGTTTAATTACAAACACAAAATTAACTTAAGCTTAATAGTAACTAAATAACATTTCTTTAAATTATAATGATGCTGGTGAGTGCATATGTGTTGAATTGGAACAGATAAAGTTTTGGGTGAACAGGGAGGACTATTTGTGGGCAGCAGGATAAAAGGTGATGTCTCCTGGTACAGGGTTTGGAGAGAGGAGGTGGATCCTGTTTTGCCTGTACCCAATTCTTCTACACCAGGGCAAGCAATAGCACCCTACTTTGTAGTTGGATCATGGTCATGCCCAAGGCTAAAGTGTTAGCTGTGGCTCCTTTTGTGCTACAAGGCAGAGTTGAGAGTTGTTATGGAGACCATCTGGCCCACACAACCTAAAACACTATCTAGCTGTTTACAGAAAAGGTTTGCAGACCCTTGTAGTGCTCCAGGAAATACTGTGTTCTCTAAACTGTTTCATGAGAGAGAGATAGTCATGAAATCTGCCTTCACCCTTGTCATGAGCAGACCCATCTCTCAAGTGTCTTTCCTGACTCATTAGGCAGCATTGCAGGGTGGGTTCCCCACAGGAAAACTCTGAGGCAGCAATTTGCATGCAGAAAGTTTACTGTGGAATATCCTTGTGCTCAACACCCAGGAGTGGAAGACAGCAGGATTAGGCAGAGGGAGAAGCTGGCCTGTGGTTGCAGTGAAGGCTCAGCACAGCTCACAGGAAGCTCTGAAGCAGGAATGGCCTCCAGCTTTGTCTTCAATTAAGAACAAGGGGACAGCTGAGTCTTTAAACCCTACCTTGACCAGTCAGTCACCTGACATAAGCTGGTGATAACAGGGGACATGACCTTCAGCAAGACAGCTCTCTCTAGTTAGGGCCATTTCCAGGGACGGAACATCACCTCCTGAGCTGCTGAGCTGGGGGACTGTCCCTTGGGCAGATCTGGGGGGCACTGCAGCATCTGAGCCTCATGTTCATGACCTGTTGGAGACTTCAGAATCCCTGAGTTTCACCCTGCCTAGTTTCTGGACTCAGACCCTTTCTCTCCCCAGGATGGGGATGAGTGTACGTATATGAGAAAACAAGATAGCCCCTTTGTTGATGGCTGCCCTCCTCGCTTGCAGAGTGCAGAGCTTGCTTTCACAAGCAGTGTTTCCGGTCGTCTGAGTGCCCCCGGTGTGCAAGGATTACAGCTAGGAGAAGACTTTTGGAAAGTTTGTCCTCTGCAGCGACATGATGCCCCGAGTGCTGTGAAAAAGACTTCCCCACACCTTTTGACAACACCAATTTGTATCTGTTATTGATAACATTGGTTTAGATATTGAGTATTGTATAGTAAAAAGAAAAATGGCCAATGCTCTCTTTATTATATCTTTAGTATTTTTAAAAGAATGCAGATTCTTTGTCATTAAGTGAAGCGTTGTTACTGGTAGTTTTGTTTACAAATGTTGAGTGTTTTTGCTGCTACTGTTTATTTTAAGAGATTTTTAAATACTAAAATTGTATTGAATGTTGGAGCTTATTTTTTATGAATTTTAACTGGCAAGAGGAATTATTCAGTTCCTCTTTATGTAAAGTTGTTTGTGAAACTGGTACTTCCACTGAACAAAAATACAACCAAAATTCTCTTTGCTTAGGCTTTATTTTCAGCTTAAATTCTACTTCTTATTGTATCAGTCTTATAGACTACTTATTTTAGGGCTTGTATGGAGAGTACACATTATTTCTGCAGTTAAATCTATTTCAAGATGAGTGAGTTGCTTAACTGCCTGTGGAGGTGCCATTTGAATCAGTTGCCTCTAGATGGCGCTCCTTCAGATGACTCAAATCAAAGCTGTTTTTGGCATCTCTGTTCAACACACGAAGTCAAGCGATGCATGGGTGAATAGAGCCTTATCCTTGCCCTTTAGGATATTGTCTCATAGATATAAAATTGAGCATAAGATATTTGAAAACTTAACTAAGGTGTGGGAAAATATTGTTAATAACAATGTGATAAAGTGGTACAGGTTGTCCCCTAATCCCATCCAGTCCTGTGTGTGTGTGTGTGTGTGTGCGTGTGCGTGTGCATGTGTGTGTTTTATTCAGTTGGATAATAATGAGCACGTGAAAGAAATTAGTGTCTCCTATCAACCTGGTGTCTTTGCATCCTGTCATTTGTTTCCCCATCCTGATGTTTCTGCCAGGTCTCTGCTTCCACTTATTATTTAAGCCATATCTCTTTTAAATAGAAATAGTGTCACATGGGATAAGAGAAATAAGATAAAAATTTAAAAAATGTTTTATTCTTACCCATAGCTTGTATTTCATGTTAGGAATCAAGGATCAGAGTGGTACATTGATATTTCTTATCAGAGCTCTATGAGGTTAATATCAGTATCTCCACTTTACAGGTAAGGAAACAGAGGCTTCAAAAAGAGAAATAACACACCTAGGTTCCCACAAGTAGAGGTGGGACTGGCATTTGAGTTGGCCTGCCTCCAAAGCTCGTGTTCCTACTCCCTACTTCTGTGGTATCCTTTTGAGATAATATGAGCAAAGACAACTTTAACTTGTAAGCACTGCTCCCCCCTCAGTCAGTGGCTGAGTGCTCTCTCACATTGCCTTGCACTGACCTGAGGAAGGTGCTGTGGCTTATGCATTGCTTGAAAATCTCTGTGTCCGGGTGTCATGTCTATAAGGCACTGACGAGTGGTACATCTTTGATGTTGAGGAAGTGTGCTCAGCACCTGCTAGGAAGTTATGCTTTTCATTTCTTTATTTTGAGCAAGAATGAAGCAATTTATATAACCACTCTACAGATTTGGCTGAGAGGTGGTTCCTCCCCAATGTGGTCGTAGAGGCTCCTTCCCAGTGAGGTGCCTGTTAGAGAAGTGGCTTCAGCTCTCTTGCTGCGCCCTGTAGGGAAGTAATTAGTTGTGACAAGTGTTGCTCTTTAATGACATTTACTCCTCACGTGGGTTTTCCATGCAGCTCTTCCTTGGCTGCCAGCAAGAAGGTGAAGACTTGGTCTTTCTTATCAGACTCTCACCCACCATGAGGCATCGAGTTATGGTGCTGTGATCCCACTGGTTAATTTTCTGCCTTTACAGGTTCACTTGGGGAATTCTAGTAACATTTTCTTTATAGTCATGACTCTCAGCTGCAGGTAGGGAGTTAAACCAGGGAGAGTATATAGGGAGTGAGGGGACGAGGCACCCCAAAGATGTTCTGGTGTGTTCAGTTGGGTGAGAATTGAGTCTCAGATCTTGTGTGACTTTAACTGAGTCTCAGATCTGCTACTTTCTATCTGTACGACTCTGGGCCAGCTACTTAAATTATCTGAGTCTCTGCTTGTAAAATGGGGATAATAACTATATGCAGTTAATATGAAGATTGGAAATAAAAAGGAAGCACCCAATAGAGGGCCTGGTACAATCAGCTATCCAGTAAATGGTAATAATTGTGTCTAGACAAATTAAAAACTGAGTTACGCCACCTATTCTCTCTCTTTGTATAAGTTACTCTCTGCATCTCAATTTACCATGAGGATTAGAACAATACTTGTATTATGGGTAAATTGTGTATCCCAAAAAGAAATGTTAAAGTTATACCTTCAAGTACCTTATTTGTGTGACCTTATTTTGAAATAGAGTGTTTGAAGATGAATTAAGATGAGGTTATACTGGATTAGGGTGGACCCTGATCCAATAAACTGGTGTTCTCATAACTAGAGGGAAATTTGGACAGAGATATCTCTGTCCAAATAGTCAGAAATCACAGGGAGAATACAACGTAAAGGAGACGGAGGTGGGGGTGGTGTGTCTATAAGCCAGGGAACATCAAGGATTACTCCAACCAGCAGAAGTGAGGAGAAAGGCATGGAGCAGATTCTCCCTCAGACACCTTGGATTTGGACTTCTAGCATCCACAACTGTGAGAGAATAAACTCTTGTTGTTTTAAGCCATTCAGTTTGTGATAGTTTGTTACGGAAGCCCTAAGAAACAAATATACCTACCATTTGGGGTTATTAGGTTAAATGATGATTAAGTAGCATGTGTAAAAGAACTGGCCCAGCTCCTGGCATGTGAGAGGTGTTACAAGTAGCAGACCTCTTACCTTCAGGTGTCAAGACACAGGAGAGATAACAACACAAAACTTTGTCAAGACTTTGAAAGATAACAACATAAAAGACTATACTATCTATAGAGGGTGAGGCAAAAGTAGGTTTACAGTTTGTATGAAAAATAATACAATAATTAATAATAACACAAAATAAGTTCTGTGTTTCACATACAATGGAAACCTACTTTTGCTCCATCCTGTAGATTTATGTGTCTGTATAGACAGAGATCCCCCAAACAGAGCATCAGCAACTGAATACTACTGCCTCTTCTACCTCAGCCTTTCGATATCGGAGAGAGCTGCTTACCCTCCGGTTTTAGGAGACGACCAGGAATTTGGAAGGTAGTGGTTTGAATCATGGTGGATGGTCTAGGGGGCTGCTGGCTGTTACCTCACATTAAAAAGCAGATGAAACCATCTTGATTTTCATATGTAATAGAAACTGAGATATATTTTCAAACAAATCTCAAGGAAGACCTTGATTGTGAGCATTAGGAAGGGCCCTCTGCTCCCTCGCTTGCACGGGGTGGAGCGGGGATTGGTGCTGGGCGGTGAGAGCACCTGTGCCTGCCCCACGCTGTCCTCACTGCTGAACTCACTAGGGCTTCTGCACACAATGGAGGACAGGTTTTAGTGGCCCCTCCCCATCCAAGCTTCATGTGAGGAACTTCAAGGGTAAGAGAGGCTGTTAAATAGAGAGTGTCATGATGTCCTGTGGGGTAACTGCCTGTGAATGACTGGAAAGGTCACTTTTGCAGCCCTTAGCTGTGGGTATTTGTATTGTACAATCCTAGGAGATAGGGAGCCAGTCGAGAACAAAACCACATTTTTAAATCAAGTTCGAGTCATCACTGGGACATCCATCAGGCAGAGAGAAGATCCATGTTGCTATGAAGAAAGATCCATGCAGAGGCCACGAAGGAAGTAACCAAAATATCTGTCAAGTATTTGACAGGCTTCAGCTGGGGGCCGAAGAGAAACATGGCGGTGCCGCCGTCCAGCGCCGGGCGCAGGGAACACAGCATGGACTCTGCAGTCAAGGTGCTCACAGACACCTCCAGGGAGCTGGCAGGGGCGGGACGACAGGTGAGGCAAATACAAGTCAGACTGTGTGCATTCTAAGATGAAGCGGAGTCTAAACACCTTAGGAGTGACAGGTCCCCCTTGGGACCCTCTAAGAGGAGTTGTGGAAACTGCCGCTCGAAGGGCCAACTGGACTCCACTGAAGAGAAGAGGAGGAACAGCAGAAACGGCCTCCCTGGGGAAGGGTGAGTGGACCAGCGTAGAGCCGAGGGGTTTGGCTGGGAATGAAGCTGGAAAGGTCAGCAGAGCCCAGAGCATGGAGCCTAGTGAGCATGAGGGGGCTTCGACTCTGCGGGAGGCAGGGAGGCTTTGAAGAATTTTGACAGAGAGCTGGGCGCAACTCAACCTACACTCAAGGAAGAAAATGCTGCATTCATCTGCAGGATGAATCAGAGTGGGAGTGAAGGCTGGTGACTGAGGGCTGCCACAAGGAAACAGAAAAGAAGGATGCTTGAAAAAGTGGGAGCAGGGCTCAGGAGAGACTGGGGTGAAATGATTGAGGCACTCATCTCAGGCATGCAATTGAAGGGAACCTCCAAAACTCAGTACTCAAGAAAAATGATGTCTTCATACAATTTAAAAAATTTAATGTCAAAAAGAAATCTGTTATAAAACTCTCAAAGTTGCAAATAAAGAGAAGGTTCTATTGTCCACTGGCCCAACTTGGCCTCATTGATTTCACCCAAGTCCCAGCCTGTGGGACGGACGCTGAGGACACACACCAGGAAAGTGGGCCTGGGGTGGGGAGGCTTGCAGGTGGAGCCATCTGGGAAGAAGGCGGCCCTGCTGACTAAGAGAGGGACACCCCTGAGAGGGAAGTGAGAGCTGTCAGTGAGCCTCTGTGGGAAAACTTGGCAATGAACTGAGAAGGGGAGTTTGGGAGGAAAACTGGTGCCAGAGCTCCTGAGTTTGGTTAGGGATGGGTGGGGTCCTGGGGGGGAGAAAGAAGACCTTGGTTCACCTTCAGGGGCTGGATAAGCCAGGGGAGGAGAAAGAGAGGGGCCTGTGTCAGAGGCAGAGAGAGAGAGAGAGAGAGTGAGAGAGAGAGAGAGAGAGAGAGAAGAAGAAGGTGGAAGAGGAGGAGGAGGAGGAGGAGGAGGAGAAGGAGAGGGAGAAGAAGGAGAAGAGGGAGAAGAGAGAGAAGAGAAGAGAAGAGAGAGTGTTGGGAACAGGGAAAATGATCGATGACTGCAATGGGTTCTGGGAGCTGTTTCCAGTGGAATAATGGGGTAGAAGCAGATATCAGAGTTTAAGGAGAAGAGCGAGAGCTTGTAGACATGTGCAGTGTGTTGAAAAATGATCAAAAGGGGAAGGGAGGCAGGCATGGGAAAGGCCCATCACTAACATTTGCAGAGCCTATACAAAAAAACAAATGCAGGGTCACGTATAGTATAGCTCAGTGTTTAAAATTAACATGTGTTTTACCCTCCCACCATGATGAGTAGGCCCTCATCAGGACGCTAAGGACAGGTTTGAATTTTAGCCTCTCAGAGCCCTTGGTGCTCTGCTCTGCATGGGGTCTCAGGGATGGCTGGGGGAGGCTAGGCCTGCCCCTCTCCTCCTGCCACCTCTGGCTCTGTCCCACAAGCAGCTGCCTGGGCTGGCTCTTGGTCTTAGTGGGGCAGCACAGTTCACCTTTAGGAGATTGTTATCAGAGAAATGTCTGGATGATTTTTTCTTCATTGCTAGTGGGAGTAGGGTTCTTACAAAATCTCTAGAAAAATCTGAGACTCACATGGGAGAATGAGTGATTTTTGTTTGTGTGGAATTATATCTGTGGGTTTCCAAAGTCCCATTTTCCTGTCATGGAAGATGTGCAGCTGGGATCCAGTAGAGCTAGAAGTTTTATTCAGTGTCCGGAGTTTCCACTCCATGTAGGAATGGGGTCTGGTACAGCATTAGGCCAGTACAGTCCATGAGTCCCCTGTGTGGGGTCCACCTGGCTGTGGGCCACGTGGGCAAATGCAGGAGCCGGAGAGCCAGCCCCACAAGCCATAAGCGCGCGAGAGCGAGAGCAAGAGAGGGAACTTCTTTGTTCAGGAGATGAAATATCTCAACCATCCCGTGCTTGCAGTGGCCACGCCTCCTCTGCCAAGGATCTGTTTGCAGGTGTGACTCACAGACAAGCGCCTTCCCTCTGTCACCAGACTCCAGTGGGCAGGTGTCCATTCTTCTCCTGGCAAAGCTGCAAACATGGAATGCCTGGACTATTTGGCCTTCCCTTTGCTCCTTCTCCGTTATTCACAGCTGGGTCAGTTATAATGTTATCGTCTGGACCGAGGGAAAGGTCCTGAGCAGCCCTGCAATGATCGGAGCCACTGGGCAGGGAATGCTGGAATACCCAGGGCACAGTCTAAAACGGGAGGGAGGGACTTGGGATGAGCATGTCCCCTTGGCTTTTGTCCCATCACCTGGGGTGGGGGCCACAGCTAGAGGAAGGCTAAGCAGGCCTGAGTTCTAAGATCTAAGGGGACACTGACCGCAGGCAGGGGGAGGGGAGACCAGAGCTAAAGGGAACACAGTGGATGAGGTGAGAAAGAAGAAATGTCTGGGGGCACAGGTTGAGGTTCAAACACATACAGAGAAAAGAACAGAATTTGCCTTCACTCTGTGATCAGTTTCTTAGCCCGGTCCTCTCGGGCAGGAGAGCTGTCCCCAAACGTGTGGGGAAGTGGCGGGGCTTGTTTTCTCAGTTTGACGTTACGTGTTTCCAGTTGTGTTTCAGTCTGCCTGCTCTGACATCACTGTAGAAGTATTAGTTCAGATTTTAGTGTGAGAAAGGGAACTATGATTTCTAAATAATTATTTTTAAATAATTCCCTACTGGCTTGAAAAGAGAAATCAAAGATACAGGTCCTTAAATGATTGTTTTCAGAAAGCATGCTTTAAAGGATGTTGACAAATAGAGAATGTAATTTTCTACTTCATCTCCTTTGGAAATGACTCAGAAGGCTCATGACGGAGGGGCTTCCCGTGCAGGGTGTTGGCCGACGTTAAATCAGGTGAGACCTGGAGGCTGAGCTGGGAGAAAACACTCCTCTCCACACGTCTGCAGTGCACTTGGGGCTGGGTGAGGAAGCTGCCTGAAGCATCAGCTCTCCGTCCTGGCGTCCAGCGATGTGGAGCTGACAATCAGACTTCCACCCACAGCGCAGCCCTGCCCCCCCCAGGCAGAGGTGGGGCAGTTTCTATTTGCTCACTGGGGAAGCATCCCCTTCTGCTGCCTCCTGACCCCCATCACATTGTTCTTGCCTGCAGCCCCATTCACTTTAAACAAATTTCAACATTAAAAAAAAAAAAATTGCCCTGGCCGGTTTGGCTCAGCGGTTAGAGCGTCGGCCTGCGGTCCTGAGAGACCCGGGTTCGGTTCCCGCTAAGGGCACGTACCTCGGTTGCAGTTTGTCCCCGGCCCTGGTCGGTTGTGCGGGTGGCAGCCACTCGATGTGTCCCTTCACATCGATGTTTCTCTCTCTCTCTTTCTGTTCCCCTCTCTCCCTCCCACTCTACCTGAACAAAAAAAATGGGAAAATGTCCTTGGGTGAGGATAAAAAAAAAAAAATTAACGAAGCCATTCAATAGGCCTTTTATTGAGCAAGTACTGTTGCCAGACATATAAGGGTACCTTCGGGTAAAGGCTTGACTGTAGACTCCAGTTTCCCAGATCTGAACTCTTTCTCCTGTGCTCTGTTCATTACGGACTCCACGAGAGTCAAATGAGCGCTGTTGAGAATGTAGAGCAGAGAATTAACAGGAAATGTACCTTGGAAGGCTCAGACACTTTCAAGTCAGGTGACACTGAACAGGGCCTTTAGCCTAAGTTTTTTCTTTGTCTAGAAAATTGGGTGTAACACCCACTTTGCAACCTGGTGATGATAATGTAAGATCATAAACATGAAAGCGCTATAATGTAAAACACTACAGAGATGTAACAGAATAATTACTCTTATCTGATGCTAATACCCATAAAAACTTAACACCTGTGATTTCCACTCTCAAGGGACATTTAAGTTGCTGTTGGCATTCTTGAGAGTCACTCCCGCCAGTTTCTTACATCGTCAGAGCCTGGATTGGCACCTCTTTAGATGAGAGAGCTGGTGTGGATAGTGACACAGATTTATTAGAGTTGTCAGATTTACAAATAAAAATATACGACCCTCTAGTTAAATCTGAATTTCATATAAACAGAGAATAAGTTTTAAGTATAAACATAACCTGTGCAATTTGTATTTTTCTGACAACCCTAAATTCTGTAGATAGCCGGGTGGACTCCAATCCTGTGCTATGGCTCTTCATTGTGGCCTGTGAGCTAATGTGACATTTTAACCACACTCTGGCCAGTCTTCCAGAGCACATGCCACCTTTGGGCCAGTCATTGTACCCAGGTTGCCTGCTCTTGGTGGCCGTGACCGACTCAGGGTGCTCATGGTTTGTGGGTCTGCATGGAGCTCTCCGGGCACAGGAGGACTGACCTTAATCTTCAGGTTTCTGTCGCCTGTCTTCTGAGTCTTTGCTTCTTGGGTAACCAATAAACACCCTGGAACTCAGTGGTGACTCCTGAGTTGAGTCAACTTAAAAATCAATCATTGAGCATCTGTCTTGTGGCAGGCTTTAGGCATAAGTGTGAATCAGACCCAGTGCCTGCTCTAGACAGGTTTGTAGCCTCAAAAGTTTATAGTTTCCGCCCTGGCCAGTTTGGCTCAGCGGTTAGAGCGTCGGCCTGCGGTCTGGAGAGACCCGGGTTCGGTTCCCGCTAAGGGCACGTACTTCGGTTGCAGTTTGTCCCCGGTCCTGGTTGGTTGTGCGGGTGGCAACCACTCGATGTGTCCCTTCACGTTGATGTTTCTCACTCTCTCTCCCTCCCATTCTATCTGTACAAAAAATGGAAAAATATCCTCAGGTGAGGATAAAAAAAAAAAAAAAAAAAAAAAAAGTTTACAGTTTCCACAACAATCAGAACTGACTTCTGATTCCAGCTTCTCAGCCTCAGCTAGGTGCTGAAGTATGACTTGATCAAAACGCTGGTGTGAGCAGCTCCTCCTCACACGAGGCTTGGAGTGGCTCAGCGTCGCACCACAGATGCTCTCCTGTGCTTGTAGAGCAGTCCTAGGATCCTGGAGAAGTTTCCCAGTGTACCCCAGGGAACACTCCATAGACATCATGAACACAAGCACAAACAAATGCAGAATTTTTACCCTTTTCTGACCAAACTTGATTCCAATTAGGTTAACTTCCTTTATGAAGCATCTCCTCTGAAGTTGATGACCACATGACATGGTATTTCTGCTTTAGTGCCCAGGTGGCCAGACAGTTGGGGCAGGGCTGCCCTGGCTGGCCCTGCTCAAGCCCCAGCCTCTAGCCCCTCAGGCCTGCTCATCTAAGGAGCTCTCAGTGCACCTGCTGCCCCTCTGGCTTCCTGCTGGGAAGAAAATAAGGCGAAAAGGAAAGCTGGGCCAAGATTATGGCAGTTACCACACACACATGATTTTTTTCAGCTCCAAAGTTTCACTGCTATCTCCTCCCCATCCTTTCTGTTCTTGCAAGTTTAGAGCTTTGAAATAATCCCTTAACTGTTCTTTGTTTGTATTGTTGACAGTATTACAGATGTCCCCCATTTCCCCTTCCTTGGCCCCCCTCCACCCAGCCCCCACTTCTCCCCAGGCCTTCACCACACTATTGTCTGTATCTATGGGCTATGCGTATATGCATATAAGTTCTTTGGTTAACCTCTTCCCACCTCCCTGACTGTTCTTTGTGAGTAGCTGTTTTACTGTTGTGATGTAA